AAGGAGACATCTTCAACCGTCAAAAATTCCCCAAAAAAAAAAATCAGTTTACAAAGAAATAAAAGAGAAAAACTACAAATCCTCACATTGGAGAAGTTGGACCAAGAGGTTGGTTAGCAGAACAGACAATATAGCCATTATAATAGTTATTTTTCTGTTGATAGACTGTTTCAGCTTCAGTCATCACCTCACCGGTCTCCTAACTTTGTGAGTTGTAATCACAACTTCAGAAAACAATGAACGTAAGGTTGTAGAATTCTGGTAATATTCAAGGTGGAAACATATTGGAATTAAACAGTTACCTTTAAACTGTTTTACAATCATCATATACATACAGGTACATATATTAAATTTGACTTGTTCAAAGCATGTAGGAGCAGTGTGAAGTGTGACAAACCTGAGGATCAGTGTCTTAGACAGTAAGAGCCGGGGATCGAACCTCGTGGTTAAAGGACGACCCGCTCTACCTCCTGAGCCAACAACAATCTACCTTCCCATCGGTCTCGACTCAAACGCAATACTGCTCAGACTCGTCTCAAGAGTTCCTCTCGACTATACAGCTCTGACTTTGACGGTTATTCAGACAAAACAAGCAAACGTGAAGATGTCGCTCTGAGCTCTGGGAGACTGATCGGCGTTTTTAGTTTTCACTTCCTGACAATTTAAAGACTTAAGAATTAGTTTCACATCCGAACTATGAATATTAAACACTATGTTGGCTGACCTCGTATCTCTCCACCCACATGCATTTCTAACAGACTACAACGCAAAGCAGCTGATTCTGGGGTCACACCTTTGACTGGAGAAACCTTTGGCTCCACTCTCCCTCTCGCCACCCACACTTACACCACTGAACACAACAGATTCACACCGATTGCAAATGTAATTTATCTCCAATTAAAGTAGCTAAAAGTAGGGACCCTATGAAGTGAATTAAATAAGATGCTTCCTAATGTGATCCTTTAAAGATAGAAGAGCGTAACACTTCCTCTCCAGGGTTAACTAAAAAGCAGCAGCAGCAGTTCAGAAAGCGCGTCAAGTGTAATTTCAATAACAGCTTCTTCATGCATCCGCATCCTCACCGACTGCTCGACATCGCTACGAGTCCACCCGTCACCCCCGAACAGCTCGTTACCAGACTCCGCTGCCACCGGGACGTCTTCGTCCCGCTGCTGAATATCAAACAGAGCCAACGAGACGCATAAATGAAGATATTGTGTGCCGTCGTTTTCTAAAAACGTGCGAGGGAAGAGAGGCAGGTTCCGGAGGTCAGAGGTCAGAGAAACCGGCTTCTGACCGGTTGTGATGATCACGATCATGAAAAGGGAGTGATAAAATGAACCGTTGATGATCAAATATATATTTTCAAACAAGAATTACAAGCACAGGATGCTTCTCGCTCTTCAGATGTGAGGTTAATAAGGCTGCTCTAATCCAAGCAAACAAAGAGCATCTTTTGGTGTTCTTGCAACAAAATTTGCAATTTGTAGACGTCACATTCAGCAATAATTAAATGGGATGAGCGAGAAAAGACCTGGTAGATAAAGAGTGATTCCGATTTATGTTTAGATTATTCTGTGAAATGTCTCGAAATTTCCTTGAGTTCGAGATGATGTCTTCAAACTTTGTCATTGTTTAATGTATAAAATGTGAAAAAAGTGAAAAAATGGCAGCGACAAGTTTGCAGAGATCAATGTGAACATCCTTAAATACATCTGACCTTTTAGCTTAATTTAACAATACATGGTATTAAAATAGTTCATTCTCTGTCAATCAATCAGTTGACTAATCGCCTCATGGTTTCAGCTCTAATGTGAATGTACATATTGTAACTGGACACGCTGGTATTAATAACAATAAAAACACATCCTGGTCACATGAAAGGTAAATAAGAGTGTTGAAGAGAACCCTGATCAAAAAGTATCTTCATGCTCAAATACAAGGACGGGTCTCATGACAAACCGCAGAGAGAAAATGTTGAATTTTCTTTTTTCTTCTTCTTTTTTTTGCGGCCTTCAACGTCCGCCTGCTCTGAGGGACCAATTAATCCAGAGCCAGAATGCGTCATGACCATTTCAAACTGAAGCAGAACCACATGTCAAACATTCACTTTGGCTGTGGGGTTTGGGTGCGATTCCCCTCCGGCCACACAGCGAGTTCTGTTTTTATCTGACGGGAGAACGTCTCCCGGTGCATTTTGGCGCCACTGTGAAGGTGGGCATACTGGGTGCAGCTCGCCGACTTCCTTTATTTTTTGCTGGCTCAGACTTAAAGTTACCAAAAGACGGAGTTCAAGCCGCATCGCCTCCTTGCCGCCTACGGCAAGTAAAACACAAATCCGGTTAAGTGACAGTCAAGAGTGGGCTGTTTGGAGTTTCCACCATGTGAGGAGCTGGAGCCTGGTGGAGAGCGAGCTGGAGAGGAACTCAAAATGAGAGCAACAGAGAGAGAGAGAGCAACACAGAGAGAGAGAGAGCAACACAGAGAGAGAGCGAGAGCGAGAGAGAGAGAGAGAGAGAGACTGTAGGCACTGAGCAGCGTCACTCAGTCTCTCCATTTTCCCATCAGCCCTCCTGCCGCCTCAATCCGCGTATATAACCCCCCCCCCCCCACTCTCCATCCCCCGCTCCCGGTCTGGCAGCCAATCGGTGAGCTCCGGCGCCTTGTGACGTCGCAGTGCAGTCGAATTGTGCGTGAGCCAATCGAGGCGCGTTACCGAGCCCCAAAAGAGAGAGAGAGAGTCTGCTGGGCTGACTCAAACCAGGCCAGAGACAGACAGACAGACAGACAGACGGAAAACATGAGATAACTGATGGGTCGAGCAGAAATGTCGAGTGGGCGAATGAGTTAGTAACAAAGTTAAATTAGGATCAAATGCCTGAGACGATAAGACGAATAAAAAAGAATGTTGGTTTACATTTAAACATACGACCACACACACACACACACACACACACACACACACACACACACACACAC